GCACGGAGTCACCATGGCATGCTTAGAATGTAGCAGAAGTCCTGCGGCCTCTGCAGTAATGACTCAGACCCCTCGAACAATCGAGAGCGCCTTATGATGTCCCTGGAGACCAGCGCGACATCGCCTGGGGATTGCGCCGCGCGCCACCCCGAGGGTCGGGCCGATGGCGAGGGCGAAGATCGATCCAGACAGCGGGCGCCGCTGCTTGGCTTGGCCCTCCTCCATCGCAAGAAGCGGCGCCCCCTGGGGCCGCCGAACCAACAAAAAACGACTTCAACGCTCCAGCGCAGGGCCTGGACAGCGAGCCCAATGTGTTCGGGCACCTTCATGGCGAGAAGGACTCAGGAAAGCATGCCATGGAGGAGGCCGGGCATGGCCACCGCCGCGTCTGCGGCTGCCATCCCTGTGTCCTTGCGCAGACGCTGGCGATGCCAGGTCGTGATTTTGGCTTCGATGTCGAGAGTATGGTTGGTCACGCTCCTCCCCGTAATAATCCCTGTTTGGGCATCGGTGCCGGTTTGCCGGCGCAGCGACGAGCACATGGGCGCGTTGATCGCCGTGGAGACGACATCGTTGCAAGCGCCGCTGAGGGCGGTCGGCCCAGCGCGTTCAGCCGCGCGGAACAAACCAGCGCCTGTCGCGCCGGAGGCCTGGTTCCCCTCGGCCAGAGACACTGCCGCGCCATGACTGAAATCACCACCATGGAGCGCACCGTTGACCACAACGCAACATGCGCTAAAACAGCTGATCCTGGGGGCCTCCGCGAGCCCAGCGCGAGTAGGGGGTCCGAACGGGCCCCGGTGCACTGCCGCGAAGCATGGCGACGGCGTTCTCAACTTCAGGAAAATCGAGCCCAATATCCCAGGCGGGCACCGTTGCACGCGCGGTCCGATCACTTTCTCGCGCGCGGCCGGCCCGCAGGAGTCTCGTGGATTTCACCCCGGCGCTTCGCGAGAGCTCTACCTACGTCGTCGGGGCCATGTAGCTGCCGCCCCGTCGGATCCACGACGCCCGAGAGATGCCTGGTCTCTGGGTCCTGGCCCGCGCGGAGGCGCGGGTCTCCAGCCGCGCCTGTAGGGCGCCTACTTCCGGGGACCACGAGGGCAAGGTCAACTTCTTGCTGGCGATCTTGAGCCCGCTGAAATGAAAAACAACACAGGTGCCCCTGAAATTGACGCCCGCGCGCCCAGGCGACGCCGTCGGTCTGGGCGAAGTGACTGGGCCGCGGGCAGCGTCGGACTGACCTCGCAACAAGCTCATCGCGACCGCCGCCAATACTTCGCATTAGATAGAGAGCCCAGGCGGCGCGCTCGTCGTTAATCCGGGCAGGGCGGAAGACAAGCCTGCGCCGCGCAAGATGCGCCGCTCCGCGAAAAATGCGCCTGGCTTCCTGAAGGGCCCCCTGGAGGCCCTCGGACTGGTGGCCCGCCCCCCGCGAAGCGGCCCCACCTCCTCGGCAAACCGGCGGCGCCTGGAGGCCTGCGACGGATGCCGAGCAGCCCCGCGAGGTCCAGAGGGAGCGAATGTGACGCCGACGGGGGCGTGATCCGAGGCACCCCTTTCTTGTTCGGGACCCCGAGGACAAGGTTGTCGCGGTTGAGGTCGAGGAGAGACACTGAAAAGAGCCGAATTGACCGAAAATCAGAGACCGACCGACCCTTCTCGACTGCGCCGGGTGCCAACTGCGCGGGCGCCCAGAATGTCATGCTGGAGCAACCCCGCGTCTTCCCGAGGCCCATGCCTCCCCTGGAGACCCGACAGCGCCATATCCCTGGACAACTGCGGTGCAAATTCTAGGTTTGGCCCGCGTTGCCTCGACGAGCGAGCTGACTGGCCCAAATCGGCATCTGGCGTTCCATGAGAGCGCTGAAAGCTTGCATCGCGTCGGAAACAGCGTAGAACTGCAATCGACGGCGCCGATCGACCAGGGGGGGCGGGGGGGGGGGGAACGGGGCCGAAGAGGGACAGCTGCCGTCGATATTTGAGTTGCGCAGTAGGCCCAGCCCGCTGGCCAGGAGCCCCGCGACGGGCGAGCAGCTCTGGAAGTCGCACTCGCGTGCGCATGCTGGCGCGGCTGTAGAGGAGACGGAGGAAACGCAGAGGAGGAAGTAGACGGCCCAGTCGAGCAGCCCAGCAGAACGGGAGCGGCGACGGCGAGCTTGGCCAGGGCCCCTGCCCGCCAGGTCTGGAATCTCCAGCAGGCCCGTCGAGGATGGGGGCCGCGGAAAAGGAAGCGTGGCTCGCGGTAGTCGGAAACGTCGAAATAGGGCAGGACCGCGTGGAACCATTTCGGGAACTGGGCCCAGGGCCTCGCCGCGGCCCTCTTGCATCACGAAGAGAACCCAGACATCTTCGCCCCAAGCCGTGAACAGCATTCCTGTCGGAGGCTTGCTCCTAATCTCCACGCAATCAAAGTCGATGTGGTCCTCTTTACCCAGGTGACAAACAAAACTGCTGCCGCGACATGCGAGGTACACCTCTTCCAGCGAACGTCGGGGTTGGTGCCACTTCAGGCTCTCAGCGGGTGGCGTCGCCTGCGCGTGTCCATCCATCCAAGGCCCTCCGCGCGCAGTCTGCCGAAGAACGTCCTCGCGTGGAGGGCGGGGCTCGAGCCTGATCCAACAGCTTATGCTCCAGTATTGAAATGTAGCCACCGCGTGAACCCCCATGTCACGCGGCATCTGCGCAATGATGAACTGAGCGCGCCGGCGCATGACGGACGCGAGCACATTTGCAAGGAGACATCATATCCAAATCCTGCGAGAGCCTGACTTACATCTAGTTGAGGCTGAGGAGGCAAACGAGGAGGGCACGGCAGCAGACCCGCCTGTCGAGGGCGGCGGACTGGCAGAGGAACGCGGCCGCGGAGGAGGCGGCGAGAGCAACTTCAGCTTGGCGTCGAGCTTGGCCTACAATCTGGCTTCGAACTGCTCGGCCACAGCCGATTACCCAGCCTTGTCCAGGGCCTCATGCCTCTGACGAGCTTGCTGGTCCACCCGCTGGTTCAGCTTGGTGGTTGCCTCCTCGTGCTCCGAGATGGAGGCCCGCAGCTCGGACTTGGTGGTGATGGCCTCGTGTCTCCTGTCTGCCTACATCTGCGTCGCGAAAAACAGAATGTCGAGGTTCGTCGGCGGCGGCGTCGGGTTATCTTCATGTTTGGCATTTTTTGTATCAGAGGTGATGTGGGCGGGAGACATTCCGGACTGGACGTCATCATCGGTCATGTCGAATTGCTCGGGCGTCATCTCCATCGGCGGGGTGGAGGGCGAACCAAGGAAGAGCGAATCAACCTCCACGGGCGCAGCGTTCTCGTCGAAGGCTCTACAGCCCCGTAGGCATCGATAACCTCAAATTGCACCACCGGGGACGACGCCGTCAGGCCAAAGTCCCCGTCCTCGTCATCCCCAGACTCGAGCACGACAACCATCTTCTTGCGCGGCTCGTCTGAATGCTCGCGGGTCCTGCGCGTTGCTCCTGCCCACGGGCCGGCGTTAGCACGCGGGTGAACGCCTGTGGAACCCTCGGGGCCCCCCGAGGTTCTTGATACACTTGCCCTTGTTGTTTTTTTTCTCTGGGTCGGGAAAACATCCTGGCCGAAGGGCGACGGCTGCGGCCTGGAGGCTCCTTTGCCGTTGGCGTTGCTGGGGGCTGAAGATTTGGGGCTCAACGCAGGATTTGCTAGGGAGATCCTCGTGGAAAAACGGGTAAGAATTATGAGTGGCAGGCCAGCGCAGGACACGCTGGATAGCTCGAAAGAAAGCTGCCCGCTCAACTTGGACCTGCTCCCCCATCGCACATGAGCCAACATGGCACAATAAGAGGAGGAGGAGGAAGAGGAGGAGGAAGACCACTGTAACCCCAAGAGTCATCAACGATGTTGGAATAAACCCTTTTTCCCCAGCTCCGTCTTCATAGGCCCCCTACAGCGGTTAATTTCCACTGCGGAAGCTGCCTCGCTGGAAAACACTCGTTTGAAGAACCTGAATCGCACCATCGCATTATTTTCGGGACTCCAACGCCACGGATCAACATGACTGTTGCAATTTGACGATCCTGAATCGCGCCAGGACGCCATTCCTGGGACGTCAACCCACCGAAACAACTTCACTGCTGCACCCTCATGCTCTTGAATCTTTCCAACACACTATGTCTGGTACGCCGGCCATGGGAACCAACGAACGTTTTGCAAAGTTAGCAAAGAATGCGCGCGGCCTAAAGCGAAAACCACATGTTGAAAACCACCCGCCCGCATCCCCTGAAAATTTCACAGAAAGTTTTAATTCCGTGTGTGCGCGGCGCTTCGGCGATAACCACATTTGAAAACCACCCGCCCTCAACCCGTGAAGGCTTTGCCAACTCTTCAAAAGAATGTGCGCAGTGCTAAAGCGAGAACCACATGTTGAAAACCATCCGCCTTCAATCCGTGAAGCCCTTGTGATTCTTAATATGGTAAGAAGGATACGTGCGGCGCTGAAGCGAGAACCACATTTTGAAAACCACCCGCCCTCAATCCGTGAAGCTATCGCATATTTTCTTTTTCTGCAAAACAAAAATATGTATATAACTGTGTGAATATATGTGTGTTAACAAGTGCGCAGTGCTAAAGCAAGAACCGCTTTTTGAAAACGACACGCCCTCCATCTGCGAAATTCCTGTCAATTTTGAAGCTTCAAGTTCAATCGTGGTGAGGAGGTCTCAAGCGAAATGCCTGGCCCGCCCTTTCGGCCGGCCTCGGGGTGCGACAGGGAGAAGTTATTTATAAGGAAGAGGAACGAACCAGGAGGAGGAGGAGAAGGGAGGACGACGGAGAGGAGGGAGGATTAGGGAGAGGCTGAGGACGAGAAGGAAGCGGAGGAGCGAGGAGGGTGACGACGCCGACGACGACGACGACGACGACCGCCGCCGAAGGCCGCCGAAGGCCGCCGAAGGCCGCAGAAAGCCGCCGAAGGCCAACGACGGCCGCCGACGGCCAACGACGGCCGCCGGCGGGCTGGCCGGGCCTGCGCCGCCCCACCCGCGGCGAGGGAGGCCGCCGCAGCGGCGCTCGCGGTACGCCAGGGCGCCCTGTGGCAGACGGGCGGGGCGGGCGGGGGCAACCGCAGGGGAGGGGACGCAGAAGGACATGCCACCACCTGCCGACAAACAAACCCTTTCATTTTTGTTTCCTGGCGGTCGTCGGCGCAAGCTCGTTGGAATCAGCAGCGTCCGCAAGGGCGCCCCAACTTGCGCAGCAAGCGTGGCTGCACGCGGCTGACGAGGTGAACTCTGGAAGCCAATCTCTCGCAAGGGATACTGAGACCTACGCCTTGCCTTGCACTCGTCCGCGAGTTTTGCTCCTATTGTTTCCCAACCATCCCGTTGCGTTGGGTCCTCGATGTGAAGAGACAGAGCCCCACGCTCGTTCCTTCCTCCACCTCCCTCCTCCCATCACAATCGTCATCGCCATCGTCATCATCATCAGCATCATCATCACCATTGCCATCGTCATCGTCATTATCGCCATTGTCATGTCACCATTGTCATCACCATCACCGTCTTCTTCATCATCATCATCACCAACAAGAACATCACCGCCGTCAGCATCATCAACATCGTCATCATCATCACAATCAGCATCGCCATTAGCTTCGGTACTCTTCTCCTATCGCCATCATCATCAGCATCATCATCAACATCGTCATCATGATCGCCATCAGCTTCGTCACCAGTGGCAAGCCCGCATGCTTCTCCCCCGCTTTTCACTGGCACAGTACTCACAAGTTCTTTGGCCCCACAGGGAGCTCCACCGAAGACGATATTTACAACTGCGCATATCACAACTGCATATGATTGGGTCCAGTGCCAGTCTGTTTGTTTGTTTGGCGTCCTTCTGCACTCTTCAAGTCGATTATTTCGAATTAGTTGCATTTTTAGTCGACTAGTGTCGGCTAGTCCTTCACAACGCGCGCGCGCCTCCTTGCAGTACGGACAGGACTCTACTTCAACCGCGTTCTTCGCTTGTTTTCGGCCACTGGGCCCAACATAAGATCGCATTTTTTGATCGGGGGGTTGTAGTAATATGTGCCCCCCGTGGAGGCGTACGTCCGACCCGAACATATAGAACAGACACCTTGTAGTCTATAGCTTCCCGACCGGTATGGCCAGAAAGCGACGGGCGGGGCGGGCGGGCGCGAGAGAGCGTTTTTTCTTGTTTGATGGGAGGCGGGGGCAAGGTTCGGATGTCGCCACGTGTTCGGCGAATTCGGAAGCCTAACCCCGCCGACCGTGGAGTTGCCCGCATCGTGGCTCGGCGAGGGCAGGGTGCGGACTCCGCCGCCCAGGTCAGCCAGAGGGGGCCGGAGGGAGCCGGCGAGCCCCCGCCAGTGCTGACCCCGCCACAAAAGGCAGGTTTTCGTCCGACGCCTCCAGCGACCCGAAACCGCAAAGAGCGTCCAGCCTCGGCCGATGCCGGGCAACTGGCGGCGTTCTGCCGTGCACGTCCGAGCGAGGGCCGCTCACCCGCGCCACGGAGGGTTCCTCCTCCTCCTCATCCTCCTCCTCCTCCTCCTCCTCCTCTTCCTCATCCTCCTCTTCCTCCTCCTCCTCTTCCTCCTCCTCCTCCTCCTCCTTCTCCTCCCCTCCTCCCCCTCCTCGTCCCCCTCCTCCTCCTCCTCCTCCTCCTCCTCCTCCTCCTGCGGGCGCAGAACGGCTCGCTTCGGGGATCTCCTGACCCGGGTCAATCCAGACCCGTGTCAGTCAGGCCTTGCGAGATCCTGCAATGATGGGCCAACTTTTCACCATCCCTACCATAGGTTGGGCGAGGGAGAAGGGAGGATGGGGAGGTCTTCCTCCTCCTCCCCTTCCTCCTCTTCCTCCTCCTCTTCCGCGCAGAAACTACATATGGAGCTTGTGTCATAAAATCATGTTGGGTGCACAGGCGTATCGGAGCTGCACAATGTGGATTGCATATTGACACCTTATGGGTGCAGCCGTCCTCTGGAACAACATCGAAGGAACCCATGGGGCGAAAAGGCGATGCGAAATGCGCCGCAAAACGCAACAGACCAACAACAAATCGGAGAGAGCACGGCTTTCGAAATATATAGGCCCCAGACATCGGAAATTGACGCGGCAATGCTGTGACAGGCGCGTGGAAGAGCATCTGCGCAACCTCGGAGGCTTGAAGAACCTGCCGGATGCACGCAGATTGCCGTCGATGCCGGCCAATTGGTGCCCCGTTACTAGCGGGAAATCCCAAGCATATTTGGAAGAAGTATTCGGCCTTGGCCGCGCATCCACGCGACCGCAATGGGAATGAGATTTCTACAACGAACGGCCGAACGAAACCCTTCCGTTTTCACTTGGCGAACTCCACCGCGCTTTCAAGAAGATGAAGACAGGCGCGCGCGGACCAGAACGGTGTAACTTTGGAGGTGTCTTTATGCGGTGTGCCTCTCGTGCACGAGTTTCTCCTGGAATCGTTCGATATATCGTTCGCTTCCGATGTCCATGAACCGTTCTGGCGGGGAGCATACCTGACCAGGATGCAAAACGCACCTATCATTTTCCCGTTCGCAGGATCGCTCAAGCCTTTGGCCAGCAGCGCGGCGCCCTCGGCGCGAAGGCCGCCTTGCGCAGACAAGACCAAATTCAACTTGTCGCGAACCCGCGGCGCCGCCTCTTGCCCCGAACAAAAACAAACACGCAGAAGCTGGCAACGGGACGTTTGCGCACTGGTGGTGGCGTCGCGAACCAGCACCACCACGCGTGGATGACGCACTTCTGTGGATGCCCGCTGCCTGGCTGCGCGATGCCGTGGCCGCCGTCGACTTGAAGGAGATGGCCCGCGAATTCTTCGAGCCTGCGGATGTTGCCCGCCTCGCTGACACAGCCGCTCCCGTCGGGCGCCATCGCGTCGCGGGGCGATCCGGGCGAAGGCGCCGTTCTCCCAGGTCTGATCGGCCCCCGCCGTCGCCTGTAGCCGCCGAGCCGTGCCCGTTCCTTGCCCTCCCCGCTGGGGTGGCCGAGTTTCGCGGCGCCCGGTGCTTCGGGGAGTAGCTGGCCCCCTCTCTTACATCTTCCCTCCTCCCGCGCTTCTCTCCCGCCTTTCCTACCCCCTACCCCCCCCCCTGCACCCTTCCGCTTTTTCACCCCTCCCCCGCCCACCCCGTCTCCCCTGCTTCCCCCCCGCGGTCCTTCGTCCCTCCTTCCTTCTCCCTTATTGTCCCTGTCTCCGTCTTCCTGCCCCCCTCCATCCTCCTCATACTTTCCTCCTCCCTTTTTTCCTCATTTCCCCCTCCTCGCCCCCCCGCACCCACTCGCTACACCCCCCCTCTCCCTCCTTCCCCGCCCTCCCTCCCCCCCCCCGCCTTCTTGCCCGCTGTTCCTTCGCCCTGTCGTCGCATGGCATTGCCGGTCTGGGCGAGAGCCGCGTGTCCGCGAGGCCGCACCACCAACCCGCTTTCGGTCAGCGCTTGGCCTTGGATGCCCGTGGTCCGCACGTGTATCCAGTAAGCATGACTGGACTTTCCCCGCGGGCGACCCATCCCAAACGTTTCCCGACAAACAAAAACTGCTCGTAGCCCGCACGACGCCGCTGGCAAGAGCAAACTTGTTTCGCCAATGCAACACGCAGTATCGTACTTCATGGTGTTATCGCTAGTCCGCATTTCTTCTCAAGGGCGACTGAACGCAATGGAATATTTGGGTCCCCTTGGAAGACCCTCGTCGGCCCGGCCGGATTCTGAACTGGGACATAAATAGCACGTGAGCTTCCATGAGGTAGTCTGGAACTGGGCACCTCAATCTTGGAACAGCGCTGCCTCGCCCGCGGGTCGCAGCGCCCTCCAAGGAGGCGGGGCGTCGGGGGTGTTGCGGCGGGATGGCGCCCAGCAGCGCTATCTGTGGCCGCGGACTGGGACCGCGCGAGGGCACCCTCCAGGCGGGCGGCTCGCGGGTTCGCGCACGAGGTGACCCCCCTCCCCCCCCCCCATGCGCGCGCAGCGAGTGGGACAGACGGGGGGGCCAAGCAGGAGAACGGCGAGAGGCCCCGAGAAGGGCGGAGGGGGGGGAAAGCTCCCGTCCTCCCGCCCGCCGTCGCCCATCGCCACCCCTACACCCCCTTTGGGAGAGGACAGGGCTCTGCAGTTGCGGAGGCGGAACAACATATGTGAACATCACGCATATCCACGGACTGGGCGACGCAACTTGGCGGTGGCCCGACTTCGGCCCGATGGCAATGGATCATAGAATGCGTCGCGTGCTGCCTAAACTGGAGTCGGATTGCCATACTCAAGCTTGTATTCAAGATGTTTTTCAGGATGACGCATGCGCATCTGCAACCACATTGAGACCGTCAACAGCGCGGAGACCAAGTCGGTGCTCGACCGAACCGATCAGTCGGCGACACCGTCGTTGTGTGGGAGAAGATCTGCACGAAAAAGTGGGAGTATGTATAATCGTTGCGGATCGTCAGCCTTGGTATGACGAAATCCTTCGATACGAAAGACAATCCGATGCTGGTTGCCGCTCTGCGGAAGCGGGGCGCTCCTAGCAACGATTTGTGTTCGTTGGCCGACGTGTATGTGAACAAGACAGGGCAGGTGCAGGACGACGATCTGTTTGACATCATCCGCGGCGTCAAACAAGAAGATGTGCTGTTCTCTATGCTGTTTAACGCTGGGCTTGAACAGGCGGTACGTGACTTCGAATCAAAATGCCCTAACTGCAGCTTGCGAGTTGGGCCCGCGAGCGCCTTCGCAGCATCAGGCACGCGGGCGACAGTCTGTGGCACGCTGAACCATCAGAAGAGGCAATGCGGATGCTCGCCATGCTGTCCACGGATCTGGGCAAGCAAGGCCTCATACTGAATGCGAACAAGACGAATATTGTCACGAACGATACGGATGCATCCCACGCTGATATTCCGATGATGGTGTCGTGCGGCGCTGTGTCGTTATTTGTCATGACGTGCCGTGACTTCCACAAATACCTCGGCTGGAAATTCAGTGGCAATCTGACAGGCCGCGTGGACTCTCACCTCGACTACACACCGGAGTGCGCGTGTGGTCACTTCCACGCGAACA